ATTGCTCCCATTCTCTATACTCGTCCTTTCCAATTTGCCACCATTTTATCACCTTTACATAGCTGTTTAGCTTAGCCTGTACATCTTTTGTAAGATACGACGTGTACAGAAGATACGATGTGTGCAGAAGATACGATGTTTACAGAAGATACGATGTGTACAGAAGATACGATGTGTATAGAAGATACGATGTATACAGAAGATACGATGTTTACAGAAGATACGATGTGTACAGAAGATACGATGTGTACAGAAGACACGATGTGTACAGAAGATACGATGTGAACAGAAGATACGATGTTTACAGATGATACGATGTGTACAGAAGATACGATGTGAACAGAAGATACGATGTTTACAGAAGATACGATGTGTACAGAAGATACGATGTGTATAGAAGATACGATGTGTACAGAAGATACGATGTGTACAGAAGATACGATGTGAACAGAAGATACGATGTTTACAGATGATACGATGTGTACAGAAGATACGATGTGAACAGAAGATATGATGTTTACAGATGATACGATGTGTACAGAAGATACGATGTTTACAAAAGATACGATGTGTACAGAAGATACGATGTGTACAGAAGATACGATGTTTAGAGAAGATACGATGTTTACAAAAGATACGATGTGTACAGAAGATACAATGTTTACAGAAGATACGATGTTTACAGAAGATACGATGTGTACAGAAGATACGATGTATTAAGAAGTTACGATGTTTACAGAAGACCATCACAAACTGACGGGTTAATCATTGCTCAGCAGCAAGATAATTGTCCAGCTCTGTAATTAACTATAGTCTAACCATTATGTAATTAGCTTTTTATTAAATCTTGTTCTTCGTTCTAGGTTAGTCTTGTTCTTAAGGCCTATCAGCCTCTGGTGGGTTATTATGGCCAAGTGCTTATTAGCCAACCAGTAAGTATACTTTAGTCCTAAATATTGTCCAGGGGGGAGGGAACTATCAGGTGAGAGCGCCAAGGCATTATGACTCTCTCTCTCTCTCTCTCTCTCTCTCTCTCTCTCTCTATATATATATATATATATATATATATATATATATATATATATATATATATATATATATATATATATATATATATATATATATATATATGCAACTGAAAACTCACACCCCAGAAGTGACTCGAACCCATACTGCCAGGAGCACTCTGCAACTGGTGTACAGGACACCTTAACCACTCGACCATCACGACCAGACAAAAGATGATGGTAGCCGAGGCTACCATCATCATACCGAGGCTACGTTAATTTTAACAACAATAAAAAAAAATTGACCTCATACATAATGAAATGGGTAGCTTTATCATTTCATAAGAAAAAAAATAGAAAATATATTAATTCAGGAAAACTTGGCTTATTAAGCAAATCGGGCCTTGCATAGTAGGCTGAGAAGTGCGTTCTGGCTACTAGGTACGACATATATATATATATATGTGTGTATATCACGAAAATAAACACGTGATTAAGAATGTGACAATGTCAGACCACGAAGGAAAAATGAAACAGGAAATTTCCTTAAGTACTTTCGTATATTAAATACATCTTCAGAAGGTGGACCTTCTGAAGATGTATTTAATATACGAAAGTACTTAAGGAAATTTCCTGTTTCATTTTTCCTTCGTGGTCTGACATTGTCATATATATATATATATATATATATATATATATATATATATATATATATATATATATATATATATATATATATATATATATATATATATATATATCTATATAAATAAAAATGGAAATGTTCGCTTGTGCATAACCGTTAATCTTCAAAAGTTCTTCACCAATTGCTTTGAATATTTCACACAACGTTAAATTTGCATCCGAGAAGGTTTTTATATACATAGTGTATAGATGTCACGTCTGTGACGGTAAAAAAAAACATGCTTTTTCTGAAAAACTTAGTTTTTCATGTGAGGAAAATTTTCTTATCTACTACATTCATGCCTCACCTGTGACAGGAAAAAACATGCATTTTTTTTAAAAACAACGCCATCTGTTAGACATAAGAGCAACACATAATGTAGTCTCCGAAAGTTCTTCAATGATTGTTTTGAAATTTTTACACAACGTTGCATTCGAATAGGTGCGTCTTTTTATATACCTACTATATACATGCCACCCCTGTGACAGGTAAAAACATGCGTTTTTGAAAAACACTGTTGCACATAAAAGTAACATGCTCGCTATACTTAATATGTCACGACTTCCATTCCAATGTTTCCGATTGCATTGATAAAATTTTATTTTCATAGATTTCAATTCATTTTATTTTTAGTGAATTATTTAGTGTGACATTGTGTTGGAATTGAGCTGTGTTTTTTACCATACCGTTCATTTCGTAAGTATGGATGCCACACCTGTGACAGGTAAAACTAAGCATTTATTGACAAACAGCGCCATCTGTTGCATGTAAGAGCAACACACACGCTATACTAAACATGTTACAATTCCATTTCAATGTTTTTGATTGCATAGATAAATTGAATTTTCATAGATTTTGATTTATTTTAATTTTCATTTAATTATTTTGTGTGAATTGCGTTGGAATTGAGCTGTGTTGTTTACCATACCGTTCATTTCGTGAGTATAGTTTTTTTCATATTTTCATATAATTTTTTAACCGTTTTTCTTATATTTCAGTGATGGGAACATCAGGTCACTTGATGTTCCCAATTTTCTGATGGGAACATCAGACCATTTGGGAAGGCATCAAACGAGGGAGTGGGGAATGGTGGGGAGGACGAGGAGACGGAAGTGAGAGATGGTGGGGAGGACGAGGGGACGGAAGTGAGAGATGGTGGGAAGGAAAAGGGGACAAGGGAGGGGGTAATGGTGGGGAAGGACGAAGGGACGGGGGAGTTTGAGATGGTGGGGACGAGGGGATAGGGGAAGGGAGAATGGTGGGGAGGACAAAGGGACAAGGGAGTGGGGCATGGTGGGAAGGAAGAGGGGATTTCCTAAAAAGAAAGGTGAAACGCCATGCAACCTCTGAAGAGTCAACCAACACAACACTTGTACCCCTATTAGACTATTTTACTGGACTTTCTTTTCGACAGCTCATAAAATGGAGGAAAGGGTCCTGAAAGCTATTGTTAATAGAAACGTTATCCCTACAGACAAAAATCAGAAAATACAATTGACAATTTACTATAAACCAAAAAAGCGGCCAACCTACTCATGAAAAACTCTCCAGACACCAAGCAGAATGCCTTGAAGGAAACCAACATCGTCTATGCCTTTAAATGCCCACTTGGGGACTGTAAGCCCCAAAGAACTCAGTATATAGGCAAGACAACAACGTCTCTTTCCAGGCGATTAACAATGCATAAACAACAGAGCCCCATAAAGGAACATATAATCTCCTCCCACAACCAGACCATCACCAGAGAAATCTTAACAAACAACACAGAAATCATCGATAGATACAGCGATAGCAGGCGGCTCGACATCAGCGAGGCACTACACATCAAAAAGTCAATACCAGCAATCAACAGCCAATTAATGCACAACTATATTCCACCCACTTCAAGACCCCGAACCAACATAGAAGCAGCAAGAGGAAGTATGGGCCAATAGGTCTTCTGCAGTTACTTCTATTCTTATGTTCTCATACCCAACTTATACCCATTGTTTCGTGTTCTGTCTTGTGTTTGTCACAAGTTTGTTCACCTCACCCAAAACTTTTGTACCATATCACCTCACCCAATACGAATATAAGTACGATGAATTTGTGTGTAAATTAAGTCTTTGAAAATGTAATAAGCCATTAAGAAACGCATTTAGGCGTCAGATCATAAATAAAAATGAATTTTGGAGAATTGATATTTTCATTACCACCGACAGTGAAGAGAAACATAAGAAATATTGAGAAAATTCGTGTTAGAATTAATAAACTTACCTTTTCGGTCATATATATATATATAAGTACGATGAATTTGTGTGTAAATTAAGTCTTTGAAAATGTAATAAGCCATTAAGAAACGCGTTTAGGCGTCAGATCATAAATAAAAATGAATTTTGGAGAATTGATATTTTCATTACCATTCATTATATAAAATTCATATATATATATATATATATATATATATATATATATATATATATATATATATATATATATATATATATATATATATATATATAGTATATGCAATTGACGATCACAAAACACTGATCATTTTATGCGGAAAATCCACAGAGAAATATGAAAGAAAGTGAACGTTCTTTAGAAGATCCTCTGTAGAGTCCCTGAGGGCACCACATTGGAATAATCAACTATACATTAATATACTTGACGTATACATCCCATGATTGACTTCAGCCCTCGACTATGTTGAGGACTACTGTATATTGAAGGTTGATCAGTAAACTATTGTGGTAGTCTTACTAAATTCCCTGTGGTTGATAGGCCTTAGGCCCAACGTTGATAGTCCTTAGGCTCTTGCGTGACAGCGCCATCATACCTGCGCTGAGTGGCCAGTTAGCCGACGCTAACCTCTCTACATTAATACAATAAATGTATTTCAACATCCCATTAACATCTATATTCTAATCAAAGGCATAAAACAATTATTGAATAATTATTGCAATCGTTTAGCGTAATGTTAACGAAACAAATATCAGGTGAATCAATGCAGGTATAAGGTGAATCAATGCAGATGTAAGGTCAATCAATGTATGAATAATGTCAGTCACTGCAGATGTAAGGTCAATCAATGCAGGTGTAAGGTCAGTCAATACAGGTATAAGGTCGATCAACACCAGATAAAAGGTAATGAAACACAGAGAACAAACCCTTAGCAATAAACACTACATATGAGGCACACAACAATAAGCAGCAGATATTAAGCAGATAACACTATCAGGTGTAAAGTAACAGGCAGCACAAGTTTACTGCTGACGCTGCAGCTGGTGGGCAAAAATTAAGGGCAGGTGAGGGGCTTGACGTACCTTTGCAGGATGGGCAGGTGATGCCTTGAGTCTGCAAAAGCGATTCGGAGAGAGATTCCATTAGGTCAGTCACCGCCGCCAACCTCTGTTGAGATGAAGAGGGTGGTGGTGAGGCCGGTGGTGTGGTGGTGGTGTGGTGTGGTAGTGGTGTGGTGGTTGTGTGGTGTGGTGTGGAGTAGTAATGGTATTGCTTGGTGATGGTTGTGTGGTGTAGTGATGGGTAGCCTAGATGCTGGAAGAGTAAAACTTAGACACACACACACGCACGCACGCACGCACGCACACACACACACACACACACACACACACACACACACACACACACACACACACACACACACACCATTGCCGACAGGAATGGCTCAAGACTCTTAATCATGAGCGATTTGAACCATGGAAAGATAGACTGGGAGAATGGGGACCCACATGTAGGTGCAGAAACATGGAGAGCTAAACTCTTGGAAGTGGCAACAAAGAACTTTCTGAGCCAACATGTCAGGGAACCCACAAGAATGAGAGGCAATGACGAACCAGCTAGACTCGACCTGATATTCACTTTGAGTGAGTCAGAAGTAAGGAAAGTCTAATTTGAAACCAGCATGGGAAAGAGTGATCACAATGTATTGACATTTGAGTGTCTGGTGGAGGTAGGGATAACATATCCAAGGAAGGGATTGGAAGGGAAAAGACTGAATTACCGAAGAGGAAAATATGACAAGATGAGGAACTTCCTAATGGGAATACCATGGGAAACAGAACTCAGAGCGAAGACTGCACAGAATATGATGGATTATGTCACCTAGAAGTGCCAGGAAGCTGCAGATAAGTTTATCTCGGCCCAAAAGGAGAAAAATAAAAAGCAACAGAAGAATCCATGGTTTAACCAGGAATGTGCAGCAGCGAACCAATTGAGAACAAGAACATGGCGAAACTACAGGAATAACAGAACACCAGAGAGCAGGGAGAGATACCAGAGGGCCAGAAATGAGTACCTCAGAGTGAGGAGAGAAGCAGAGAGACAGTAGGAAAATGACATTGCGAATAAAGCCAAGACCCAACCAAAACTGCTCCACAGCCACATCAGGAGGAAAGCAACAGTGAAGGAACAAGTGATGAAACTGAGAAAAGGGGAGAACAGATACACAGAGAACGACAAGGTGTGTGAAGAACTCAACAAGAGATTCCAGGAGGTCTTCACAATAGAACAATGAGAAGCACGTGCACTAAATAAGGAAGAGCCAAACCAAGTAACCTTGGAGGAATTTGACCTCACCAGTGATGAGGCCAAAAGGAATCTGTTGAAGCTGAATGTGACAAAGGCTGTTGGGCCTGACAGAATCTCACTGTGGATACTAAAGGAAGGTGCAGAAGCACTAAGTGTGCCACTCTCTATGGTGTATAACACTGGAAACCGGAGACCTACAGGAAAGCTGGAAGACAGCTAATGTAGTCCCAATATACAAAAAAGGTGACAGGCAAGAGGCACTGAACTACAGGCCAGCTTTCCTAACTTGTATACCATGCAAGGTGATGGAGAAGATCGTGAGGAAAAAGCTCGTAGAGCATCTGGAGGGAAATAACTTTGTAACGCACCACCAACATGGGTTCAGAGATGGTAAATCGTGCCTCACAGGTTTAATAGAATTCTATGACCAAGCAACAAAAATTTGGCAAGAAAGAGAAATGTAGGCAGACTGCATTTTCTTGAACTGTCAGAAAGCCTTTGACACAGTACCCCATAAAAGGCTGTTACAAAAGTTGGAGCAACAGGCAGGAATAAAAGGTAAGGTGCTCCAGTGGAAAAGGGAGTACTTAAGCAATAGGAAACAGCGAGTAAAGGTGAAGGGGGAGACATCAGAGTGGCGAGATGTCACCAGCGGAGTCCCACAGGGCTCTGTACTTGGATCCATTTTGTTTCTAATATATGTAAACTATCTTCCAGAGGGTATAGACTCATTCCTCTCAATGTTTGCTGATGATGCAAAAATTTTGAGAAGAATCAGAACAGATGAAAATAGACAGAGACTACAAGACGACCTGGACAAACTGGAAGAATGGTCTAGAAAATGGCGACTAAAGTTCAACTCAGGAAAGTGTAAAGTAATGATATTAGGTGAAGGGAACAGGAGGCTGAACACAAGGTACCATCTGGGAGGTGAAATCCTGCGAGAGTCAGATAGAAAGATCTGGGGGTTGATATCACACCGAACCCGTCCCCAGAGGCCCACATCAAAAGGATATCATCAGCGGCATATGCTAGATTGGCCATCAAAAGAACTGCCTTTAGAAACTTGTGTAAGGAATCGTTCAGGACCTTGTATATCACTTATGTCAGACCAATCCTGGAATATGCAGCTCCAGCCTGGAGTCCATACCTAGTTAAACACAAGACAAAGTTAGAGAAGATTCAGAGGTATGCCACCAGGCTCGTCCCGGAACTGAAAGGTATGAGCTACGAGGAAAGGCTAAGGAAGCTGAACCTCGCGTCCCTGGAAAACAGAAGAGTAAGGGGAGACATGATAACCACCTTCAAAATTCTCAGGGGTATTGACAGGGTGGACAAAGACAAACTCTTTAGCACGGGTAGAACACGAACAAGAGGACACAGGTGGAAACTTAGTACCCAGATGAGCCACAGAGACATTAGGACGATTTCTTCAGTGTCAGAGTAGTTAGTAAATGGAATGCATTAAGCAGTGATGTGGTGGAGGCTGACTCCATACACAGTTTCAAATGTAGATTTGATAGAGCCCAGTAGGCTCAGGAATCTGTTCACCAGATTCACCAGACTCATTCAGGTGAATATCAGATCAAGCATTGCTGGTTCGTCTTCTCCTCTCATTCTTGTCGGTCCCTTAATGTGTTGGCTTAGAAAGTTTCTTGCCATGTTTAGCAGCTTAGCTCTCCATGTGTCTGGTCCTCCATGTGGGTCTCAGTTCTCTCGATTTATGTTCCCGTGGTTGAAGTCTTCCATGATTAGCAGTCTGGATCCGTTCCTGCTAGCGACAGAAGCCGCTCTTTCTTTTATATTAATGGTAGCCATGTTGTTTCTGTCATATTCCTTTCTGGGTCTTCTGTCATTAGGTAGGGGGGGGGGGGTATATATGACTACTACTATAAGTTTTTGCCCTCAAATTGCTATGGTACCTGTTATATAGTCACTGAAACCTTCACAGCCCCGAATAACCATCTCCTCAAAACTCCAGTCTTTTCTTATCAGCAGAGCTACTCAACCTCCACCTCTTCCTTCCCTCTCTTTCCTTATTACATAGTAGTCCTGTGGAAACACTACATTTGTTATGGTTTTCGTTAACTTTGTTTCCGTTAGTGGTATTATGTCTGGGTTTTCTTCTTGTGCCCATATTCTAAGTTCACTTGATTTATTTGTAATTCCATCTATGTTTGTATACATTGCCTTGAAGCTCACTTTCTCCTGTCCATTCCTGTTTTCTCTTCTTGATGGTCTTTCTACTGATGGAGGAAGTCGTTCAATAGACGTGGAAATTTGTTAGTTGGTTAACAGGGGTCTCAGAGGATTCTGGGGTGAGGGTTAGGGGGTCAGGGGAAGTGGGGACTGGGAGGGGTATGAGGTGAGGGAGGGGTGGAGGGACAAGGAGGATATTGTGTGAGGGAAAGCAGAGGGACAGGGGTGGTAGGGAAGGGGGGATAGGGAGGGTATGGGTGAGGGGGGGAGGGTTGAATGAGTATTTGAATGTTGACAGGGAGGGTTCAGGTAAGGAGGGGTTATATAGGAAGGCGGGTGGGGGGTGTTGTCCTCTCCTCTGGGGGTTACTGGGGTGCTGGTCAGGAGTTCCCCACTCCCCTCTAGGACTTTTGTGTTGGGGGTTTTGATTTACTTGGTTCTCTCCTCTCTCCCTGCACTTCTTCCTTCCATCTGCTTCCATTGCTCTCTCTTCCCTCGTCGTGTCCCTCTGGAAGAATACTTTCTTGTATTCTCTCACATTTAACAGCCGGCTCTTCCTTGCTAGAATTTCCTCCTTCGTGGTCTTATTTGTAAACACAATCTTTATCAGGCGATCTCTGCCCTTGTTGTACCAGCCAGGCGTGAAAACCTTCTCTATGCTTTGTCCAGCCCCTTCCATCTGTAACCCCTTTAGGATCTCTCGCTGCCACACTGTCCTTATAATTTCATTCTGTCTTTCTGGAGCCTTCCTGTTCTTTAATGCCCACTGCTACCACTGATATTTTCCTCTCCAGCAGGTGACTAGTGCACCTTGCTGCTTTCTGTGAGGTAGCTGCTTTCATGGCTACTTTCTTCACTGTGGACGTTGCTTCTAAACTCTTTCTAATCATTTCTGTAAATGTTGCATGTACAGTGGCAGTCCCTTCCATTGATACATTTCCCATCTTCTTTTGGTATGATTATATGATGCTGAGTCTGAGTATTGTTCTCTTTGAGGCTTCTTATCTCCTCACAATTAGGTGAGTACCCAGGTGGATACCCGGGGTACCTGTAAACCAAGGCGAGGCGCAGAGAGATCTCCAAGGAAGTTTTTAAGGTACGACTCACAAGTGAATGGAAGTGTCTGCAAGAAGATAGTATAGAGGCGAATGCAACAAACAGCTTGCAATAGGAAACGCGCCGTGAAGCGTGAACCATGGAAGTCATTGTATTAGCTTACAAGAAGCACGAAAGGCGGGACTAGAGAGCTAATGTTCAACCCTGCAAGCACACCTCAGAGACAAGCACACTCACACATTAAAGGGACTCAGACTCCTCCATCGCACAATGAGAAAACAAATTGGATTTACACGCGATCACAACTCTAATGACTGAGTCACATATTATATATGTGGCTCTGGCGGCGTCGGCCACACCTGCCACCCTCCGCCAGGCCCTCATCACGTCACAATCTCGGATAAATATATGACACCTACGTGGGACCCACTTTCATGTATGCAGCTCTCATATAGAACCCAATGGTGAAACACACGAAACGAAACTGGAAATGTTGAAAAATATGTAATTAGTCTCGTTCCTGAGTTTAGAGGAATGATTGAAAGAAATGAGTCTTATTGCACTCAAGAAGAGAAGTATGTGGGACATGATCGTGACATCGAAGA